ATACATACTGTATACCTTTCTGCAAGGTTATAATCATTATAATTATATAGATATGCATTTTTGTTACTGTGTTTTTGTTACCTCTGTTTTTGTAGGTGTGGAGCCAAGATGTCRGGTGTGTTGTCTTGTGTTTTCTTGATATWCTGTATATTTCGTATGTCTTCTGATCTCTCTTTCACTCTTTCCCATTAAATTTCACWTTTTTCTTCTCTTTCCTTTTTCTTTAAAAAAACTCACTGATGATGAATAAGCTATGAAAGTAATATTCAGTTCTGCTTTCTACTGAAGTGGCTAAAATAAATAAATAAATAAAACCTTATCTTTGTGCTCTTGCCCCCTCCCTTCTTTTCTCTGGGTCTCCTCATCTTTWCTCCATCAGTGCTTTCAGGCTTCGCTGCATCTTATCTCCCTCCAGTGAAGGCTGTACCCAAACTGCTGCTGTCTCTGCTTCCTGGTGGGAAGGAGGACAAAGAGCAGACAGCTGTCCATCAGCAGGTACACACAGTCAGCTTCGCCTGTTTTATCTAAGATCTGACTTTCATGTGCAGCGCCACAACTTCAATCTAAATATCTTCTTCTCTAATCAGTCCGGTCTTTTGTTGCCATRGAAACAGTGCCTATGCAGATGAAAAGACAATTAGTAAATTGTGTATAAATGTCCATGAAGGCTGTTTTTAGAAAGAAATGTACAAGAAAAAAGGCTGACCTCTATGTGAGAGTACCAGCTTGATTTTAAGATTTCTAAAAGAACTCAAGTTGTCATGTAGTCCAAACCATTCATGAAACAAAGACACAGTTTGAACAGTGTAGTGCTCAATAGACTCATAGAGAATATGTCCTCATTGTTTGACATATTGCTGTAAGAACATTCTGCTCCCATCTCTTCCACAGAGCAGCTGCAGGCTGGTCCTGACTGTAAAACTGCCTCTACTCGTAAACTTTATATTTTTGCAAACACTTCCTGCTTCCACAAACTTTCCACTTCTTTTACAGTTCATAGATCAAAACCGTTTTACAAAGCAAATCCACTAAATGGCCTCAAAGACAGTTCAGTCTTTCTGCTGCCTCTGATCGTTCATACGTCACTAATGGAGCTTTTAGAACTGACTCAGAGAGGCATGGAGCTGAGCTTAGCTGAGCTGAAGTGGAGCACTTCAAATTAAAAGCAGGGTTCCCACGAGTCCTTGAAGTCCTTTAAAGTTTGTGAATTTGAAAAAATGATTTCAAGGCCCTGGAAAGTTTGTAAAAACAGTCAAAAATTACACTTGTCCTTGAAAGTCCTTGAATTTTTGGGGGTATTGAAGTTCTCTTTTCACCTGACTGATTTTCATCATCTGTAAAAAAAATAATAATAATAATTATAAAATAAAAAAACCCAAGACCTACATTTGTTGTGGTGGATAACTCAGGATTATGGTAAACTGACATGGCTTTCAACAAATAACATGAATCATAGTCATAGTTTTAGCCAATCAGAGAAGAGTAGGGCAGGTCGTTGTTTCTGAGCCCAGGTGAGACCACTACAGTTCCTCCTGTCCTCACTGAGCGTCTGGACGTGTTCACATCCCCTCCTCCCAAACTGAGCTGCCCAACCTCCCAGGACATAATTACATGTCTGTGTATTGTGGATATGAATGTAGGGTGTACATTTAATCCACTTCCTTTCATTGGGCCTCATGCAAGAACATGTTCGTATTCTTATCCTAAATTTCTCTTACTTTTGTTCGTACAA